TTTCAAGAATCTTAATAAAGTACTAGCGTAACTGCTTAAGGTTAAAAAAAAAAAAAAAAAAAAAAAAAAAAAAAAAAGAGCTAAAGTGTTAATTTCAGAGAATATTATTAATGAATATTTAAAATTTTAAATAATCTTCAAGATATCCATATTGCAAACTCTAATATATGTTACCAAGTTAAGAATAATTATTTATGTCAAAGAGTTAATGGTATTGTAACATTACTGCACAAAAAAAAATCAAACACTTGGAAACCTGTTGCTTTAAAAGAGAGATTATATTATATTATTGCAGAAGAACATTTAGCTATTAGACATAAGGTGCTAAAGCTATTTACAAACAAGTATCAGATAAATATCATAGTATAAAAAAATGCTTAGTTAATAAATTTGTTAAAAAATATAAAATATGCAAAATGTGCAAATTATTTATCAAATCTTTAGCTATAAAACCTATTATTAGCAAGTTTTTTATACAATGACTTTAAGTATGTAATATGAACTACAAATTATTTAAACCTTATTTTATGTTATAAATTTATTTATTATTTAACTAATTTTTTTTATTTAAATGCTACAAAGGAAAAACTAGAAATGGAAATAGGCCAGACTAAACCTGATAATATGTAAATTGGGCTGGGCTTGAGCCAAGTTTGGGCCTATATTTTTAAGTCCAATATTGTTTGAGCTAGTTCCAAACTAGGCCTGTTTAAAAACTAAGCAGTTTTAGGCTTTATAAAAAAGCTCAAACAGTCCAATAATACCTGATTATTAATTTGACTTAGCAAAATTTTTTAGTTAGCACATGATTTTGAGTAATTTTATTAGTTAGCCAAATAATAACATAATTTATTAGGTTAATTTAATTGGTTGAAAATTTTTAGATTTAAGACATAGTTGCTTTAAAACTTGAACCAATTAGTTGTTAACTTACTGCTTTACAATAACTATATTTAGTAATTTTCTATTAAATTACTAATTATAATAGTGCCAATAATTATAGTTACAGGCTTTTTCTTAATGTCTATATCAGTGCTGATTGTTTTAAATATGCATACGTACATATGTACCTTACAGTCTTAGTGAAATAAAAGATTGCTAATGCATATATATGCATGTATTTCTATAAAGCTTATCGATAAGTAACACAATGCAAAGCAATATATAAGTGACAGAAATCACATTTGTCATTAAATATTAACAAAGAAACCAAAAATTGTCTGATGCAAGAGTGTAGTTTATATATATATACATATATAAAAGGAAAAAAAAGATGAGCTAAAGAGAACAAGCAAAGAATATATTTAAAAAAATAAATTTAAGCTATAGTTTTTTTTTAGGTTATATTATCTAATATTGAACTACTATAATATAATGGATTCTGGTATACATATTTAAAATTTATAACTGCATATATTTTTTCTTAGATATATTTAATAGAACATAAAATTTTATTTAAATAGAAATGCAAAATATCTGCTTAGCTATTAGTAATAATAAAAGTGAAAGTTCAGAAATAACCATTGCTAATGAAAGTGTTAAAATCATCACATCTAATGAAAGCATAGGAACAATTGTTAATAAAGGTTCTGAAGTAACCATCATTAATAAAAAGTATAAGAAAAGCAAACCAGAGTTATAGCTTTTTAAAAAAGAATATTTTGTTCAACATAATCCTCAGATAGGTAAAAATCTCTGCTTTTTTTAAGTATTAATTATGTAAACTTATTGATACTTATTTGTTATACTATATCATATAATTTATTAGATAATTATGTTCAATGTAAATACTATAAAAATAATTTAAAATATGATAATAATACAGAAATGAGTTCTTTAATTCATTATATAAAAAACTCAAAATGTAAGAAATATTTGAAAACTAATGAGTCATAACAACTTTTGCAATTATTCGCATCAGGTCTTTCTATGTATAAATTCTCTTAGGAAAGAAGTCATCAAAATTTGGCATCAATGATTGTTAGATATTTATATCTATTTAGTATAATAAAAGATAAAGAGTTTGTAATATTTGCAAATAATTTGTGACCAGAATTTAAATTAATAGGTAGAAAAACTGTGCATTAAGATTGTAATAACATTGTTGAAAAGCTTAAAATAAAAGCATGTATACTAATTCAAGAGACATCTAGTAATTTAAACTATATAAGTGACATGTAGATGTCTAATTAGAATCTCGAATATATAATCATTATATACCATTTTATTGATAATAATTGGGTACTTAGAAAACTAGTTTTAGCATTCAAAGTGGTTTTCTCATCTCATACAGGAATCATCATTAGTGAGATGCTCTTTAAGTGTTTTAGTGATTAGAATATTGCAGCAAAAATATTTGTAATTACTATAGATAATGCAACTAATAATAATGTCATAATAAGAAATTTAAAATACATGCTTGATGAACAAAACATGTTAATTGCTAATAGAAGTTTGCTACATTAATGTTGCTGCACTCATATACTAAATTTTATAGTTAGTAATAGTCTAAAAATAGTTAAAAATATTATAAGTAAAATTTGAGAATGTGCAAAATAGATTTACAGTTCACAAGCTTATCAACAAAACTTTGAAAATGCTGTAGTAAAGTGTTGCATCAAACTTGTATTAAGCTAACAACCAACTCTTGATATACCTACTCATTAGAACTCAGTATACTTAATGCTTGTATTTACTATTCTGTATAAAAATATATTTTTTTATTTTAAGCAAATTATGCCCTTTGATGAAGATTGGAAAAATGCCAAGATTATTTGTAATTTTTTGAAGCCATTCTATGAAGGTAATAGTAAATTTTTAATATTTTACTAAAGGCTTATACTAATTAGTTAATTTAATATAGTTATAAATATTATATTAGAAACAATATACTTAATTGTAAATATTTTTTTCACTTATTTGATAAATGTTAAACACATCTTAAATGAAATATTACTAATATTAATTCTTTTATTTGTTAAATAGTTGTACTAATGCAAACTAAATTTGAAAAATACTAAACAAAAGTAGAAGATACACATTGCATTGCATTGATGATGGATTCTTGGTATAAGATGTCATTAATAATCTATATATATAAAGAAAAAATACAGTTGTCATATTTTGAGGCAGATGAAAAACTAAACTCTATTAAAATAAAGTAAGATATTTTTAGTATTGCTCAGAAGAAAATGTGATAATATTTTGATATATCTGTATATTTCTTTTGTATTTGTATATTCAAAATGATTAGAGTATTGATTAAATTACATAATATTACAATTTTTAAAAAGGTGATACAGTGAAAATTTAAATTGCCCTTATATGTTTTCTTTTGGCAACACTTAAATGTTTTAATAATTTTTAAAACTTTACTATTTTATTAACTGATTATATATATTATATAGAGCTATATTAATCTATAAGTCAATATACATGCAAAATACAGCTATTTTAGATAATTATGTTAATTTTTCTACTGTTATTTCTTAGGAAGACAATCTATTGAAAGACTTTGATAATTTTCTTGTGAATAATCAAACTAGTATGATGGATAAAATAGATGAATTTGAACAATACCTTGCTGATCCACTTGTATCTCATTCTTTTACTGGCTTATTTGATGTTTTAACTTGATGGAAAGAAAATGAATTAAGATATTCTTCTGTGGCATTGATGGCAAGAGATATTTTTGCCATACCTGTAACTTTAGTAACATTTAAATTTGTAAATAATATTTTAATTATTATTAATACCAATTTACTAGTTATATTAAAAAATTTAATGCAGAGGGATGTGGCGACCTAGTGAAGTGGTTAGGTTGTCAACCCCCAAGTGGCAGGTCCAGAGTTCAAATCCTAGTATTGATGAAAAATTTGAAAATTCTCCTTGTGTTATAGTTAACTGTCTTTTACAATTGGTTAGGATAAGACATCTGTAATCTATATCACACCAGCATGACTGGCAGGTCACATGACATTTGTGTAACAGTTATATGACATTGTCCTTTGGAACAAGGTTTGTGGTTACATGAAGGAATGCAAACTGGTACCGGGCAGTGCAAACCTACAATAAGTCCTCGTGATCATGTAAATCATAGGAACTAATAAAAGAAAGATGAAAGCCCACTTGGAAGACCTGAGTAGAGAAGTAACTCAAGCTTTCGACAGTGCTACTTTAAAGACTAGACTAATGAAACAGAGCTAGAACTTATGAAACTGGGCAAATGTGTTGGTCTTTGAGGAGAGACCAGATGAACCAACCAGGCTGCTAGAATTTCCAGATTCTGAAGAAAAAGGGTACATGCTGACAAACATGTAAACCAGAAGTATAGTCTCGCCCTACCTTTCTGGACTATCTGAAATGGCAACTTGGTAGAACTTGAATTGAATACCAAAGTAGTAAGGATATATTCTGAAGTAAGTACCAGGGTTAGGATGAACTCTACAAGGGCATAGCAGTTTAATGATATGCTCTAACCACCAGTGTTGGTTTCGGCTATAGTAATATCAGGTCAGCTGTAAGAATAGGATACAGAAGATTCTGGAAGGTTTAGTACAAGGTCAAAGGTTCTAAAGAACTGCTTTAAAGACTTAGTGGCCATGGCATATTTTTACTGGCATCAGCCAGGGTCATTGATAGACAGAGGTAGATGGGTGGATACAGAAACAGAGTGGTTAAATAGGAAACCTACAAGTGAGTTCCAGGTATGGCAGCTAGTGTAAAACCTTGGGCAGACTACTTAAATTAGACAATGACTAAAGTTGTACGAGTAGTTAGTTGTATACTCTCTTCATAGTTGCCTCTTGTAGTTGTAAAGCAATCATTAGCCAAATATACTATCAATAAAATCCTGGATCACAAGTACTCACCTTAATATTTAAAAAAAAAAAAAAAATTTAATGCATCAATTTTAACTAGTAACAATAAACTAATTTATATTATTTTATTTACTAGATATTTAGTATCATGAAAAAAGTTATTGATGACTATTAATCTAACCTTACTTCAGAAAGTATTGAAATGTTAATTTGTGACCAATATTGGATGAAATATACAAAAGAACTAAGTTAAGTAGTATATCATATATTTAAAGCAATTACAGTATCTTTTTTAATAAAATATTCAAAACAAATAAGCTAATGCAAATTCTAACTAAGGTTCTGCAAGTGCTGACACATATATTATCAAAACATTGTATCCATACCTGTGCTGATATTTGCAAAGCCCTTATTCTAACCTTTCATCCAATTTAGCTACATACTTAACTATTTTAATTTTTCTAAATATATATATTATTCATTTGTAAATAAGAACTAAATCAAAGCATCAAAATAAATAATTAAATTAGCAAAATCTTATTATCCAAGGCTCTGTGTATTCAAATATTCTTATAAGTAAACAATTTTTTTTTTTAATTCAAATTTTAAAAGTTTTACAAAACAACTGATAAAATATATTAGCAGTTAAATTAATGTAAGAAATATTGTTAGCAAATATGTTAGGTGCTAGTTTTATGTATATTAAAATATTAAGATTATTAAATATTACTTTTATACATAGTTCTCTAAAAATAAAATTCATATATAATGTTAAAGCAGAATTTCTATTAGTCAGTTTTCTATTAATTATCATGTATTATATTAACTGACTAATTGGAATGAGTCTAATTTAAAAATAAATCCAGCCTGGCTCATAACTTTGGGCTTTTTTTTTTTTAAGTAAACTGGGCTTGGGCTTATAAATATTTTGTAGATTTAGATTTAGGCCCAAGTAGGCCTGATCTGATCTGGCCTATTTTTTTCTCTAGTAGTAGTAAGTGTAATTAGTATTAAGTAAAAAGTAATGTCTTAATTAAGAAAAATTTAATAACAACTTATCTTTAAATTTTAGAGTTCACTACTATCACTACTATCTAATATAACAGTAAGTGTAAGTAATATTAAATAAGAAGTAATAACTTAATTAGAAAACAATTAATAACAATTTATCTTTGAATTTTAGGATTTATTGCTACTACTATTATCTAATGTAGTAGTAAGTGTAATTAGTATTAAGTAATAAGTAATAACTTAATATACTATTTAGTACTATAAAAAACCTAGTAAATATACTAAGCATTAAATAAGAAATTCAGATGTTTTTATATATTTATGTTTTATTTGTTATTTTTATTTAAATTTTTTTTTAAATTTTTCTATTTTTTATTTAAATTTTTTTAATAAAAATTTATTTTATTTTATTTTATTTTATTTTATTATTTTATTTTATTTTATCTATTTATTTATTTGACCAAAATTTAAATTTGAAGCAATTATTTTAACTCTAGAGACCACTATTAAATGATATAATTACACAAATAGTAAGTATCGAATTAGTAAAAAAATTAATAAGCTATAAAAGTACTTGTCTTTTGTCTTTTGATATAAACTTGCTTAAAATGAACAAAAATTAATATTTAGTTTTTATTTTTTAATTTTTTTTAAGAATCAAGATTTATGTTCATTTTCATTCTTTTATATGATTCAAAATATCATTGAGGCTAAGATTACTAAGTACCTAGAAGTTTATACAGAAAAAATAAGACAGCAAATGAAAAAAGAAAGAAAACACTTATGAAAATTTGAACTAAATAATTTGATTCAGATTTGAATTTTTGAAGTTGATTGTATTGGTATTAATTGTTGATATATATCTTGTAAACTATTAGAAATTATCAAGAATGATATATACATTTTAGGATATTAATATGGAAGATTAAATAAACATTATTTAACTATTGAATTGGTTCCTATTATCAGAATTTTTAGAGAATATTCTGAGCTTGTAAATATTTTCAACACTTGTATAAATGCTCATAAAACTGCTATTTAACAAAACTTTGGCTTTATAACTGCTACAAAATATCTTTGCAAAGATGATTGTTTTAAAAATTATTATAAATATAAAAAGACAAATGCAACTTGTAGTACTCGTTGTCATTCCAATAATGTTCAATATAAAAATCAATAAAATTAAAATTTTATTTTTTTTTATATTAGTTATAATAACAAATAATTAATATAAAAGTATAGTATATAATTATAGTATTATTATTTGAGATGTTTATTAAATTTTTACTATTTAGTATAGTAATATTTTGGATATTTATATAATTTAATATTTGTTTATTTTAATTGGCTAATTTATTTATAATGATTTGCAATTGGCATATGGAACAAAATTGGTAACCCAAAATCAAATTGCAATCTGAATTGCCCCAATTGACAATTGAACCAATTTGCATCTAAGGTACAACATATATTTTTGATTATTAATTTTACTTATTTAAATAACACTTTGTAAAAATAATACTAAAATTAAATGATGTTAAATTGATTTTATGTTAATCAAATCAGTAATTAACTATAAATTTTCTAATATCCATTTGTTTAACCTGTATAAGTTAAGCAAAAAAATAACATTAGCAAAAATAAAAATAACAATCCTTTATATTTAATATTAATTTTTTTAAATATATATAAAATTAAAAAAAATCATTTTAATAAAATTATAACTTAAAAGATCATAACAAATTTGTTTAATTAAATTATAAATCCTAAATTATAACACTTTATAAATATTATATATTTTTGCTTTTTTGTACTATATTTGTTTAATATTATATAAAATAAAACAGTTTTAAAATAGCCTATAGTAAGGCAAAAATACTATTCTTGATAAATCTGCAGTTACTAATCTTGGAGTTAAAAAAATTGGTAAAGTACTGATCCTGAGAATTCTAAAAACAAACCCTAATCCTAACTTTTTTTCATATACTTCGTTATAGTAGTATAGTATTCAGAGGAGGCCCTTTTTTAAAACCTTATCAGAAACGGTATGTGTAAATCGATTTTTCTCCTACCCTATCAGGAACAGTACGATCTATTAGAAATGGTATTTTTGCCTTCAAAAAAATTATTTATTATTGCCATGACTTTTTGATAAGGCGCTGTAATATATAACCCCGTTCACTGAGAAAACAAAACAAAAATATCAGTAAAATGATCAATCTCTTTTGTATATCCAGAAATTATATCCATAATCTTTAGTCCACCAACTCTTTGTAACCCAGGACTTAATGGGAAAAATTCTAAATTAAAATCAATAGTTCCGTCAGGTACTAATTCACCCAACATTTCACTGCTTGGTCCACTTAGCAATACTGATCCCATCTTATTCTTTATCGCCGAAATTAATACTTTAAATGTTGATGTTGTTCGATTTCTAATTCGACATCCTAATTTAAATGGTATTTCGAGTAGTATCAATGATGGAATTGTTGTTACCGATAATTCTATATCATCGAGCACCGGAGATTTACGTGATAGTTGTGATGTTTGTAAACGACCAGTTTCTCCCAAATTTGATCTCCAAACAATATCAAGTTTTCCTAGTGCGTTTGATGTACGTGCTATCCGATCTTCTATGCCAGATTTTGGTGTTAGCATGTATAGATATTGACGAACGTCATGAGGATTGAGATAACTGTTATTTCCAAATATGCTTTCCTGTTCCAGCGGTATAACTGTAAGTTCTGATTGATTTGATGATGTTATGGATTTTTCGTTGCTATACCGTCGTTCTTGTTGTGTCGACTCTGATCCTTTTATTTCTTGCTCTTCATCCAAATTATCTTTAGATTCACTAGTTGCTTTACTAGAATTTTCGTCGTCCTGTAATTCTACTAAATTAATTCCTTCGTTGTCATTTCGTTCATTGTTTTGTATTTTGCTCTTCATCACACTAATGTCCTTTTTTTTGATTTCATCAACTTTCCCATTTTCAACAACGTAATTCAGATCTTGATAATCAAATACTTCTCCGGGTTCAAATTTCATTTTTTCTAAATACATAAACCTTTCTGCAACATTTTGTATTTGTACTTCCAAAAACACCGTTCCATTGCCCATATTGTTAACTTTAGTTTTCACGGCAAAAGGGTTTAATACATGGAATCTATAATACTTTTTAACGAACTTTTTTTCACTCTCATTCGTCGTATATTGATACGAACAAACTATATTATGAACACCTAATTCTTTGATTTCGTGTTTTATAACGAATTCATTAACTTTGCCAGGTTCTATTAGCGGAATTGAGCCGTTTACTGTGTTATCAGCCAATAATAAGCGTTGTGAGGAAGTTAGTAATTCTATTTTTAAACCTACATCTCGAACATAGTGGATTGATTCATTGGTTATAGTGAAGTAGCTATCAAATGTTGCGCCCAAGTATATGTTATCTGTTGAACTGTTTGTGGTTGAATTTACTGAGGATGACGTTTCACTTTCAGTAATTTCTTTCATAAAAATTTTTGTTGGCTGAGTAATTACGCTAAAGGGCTTGGGATCAGCTGCAACGCCAAAGTAAGGCTCTGTTGAGGAATCTCTTTTATTTTTGGATATTGGGCCCGATTGACGCGTAACTTTTAATGTAAGGTAAGGTTGTGAATCGTATGGCGCGTCCATGTGAATATACTATTGAAATTTTTCTTATAATCAAAAGATTTACGAAAAAATTTAAACTAAATATATATAGAATTTTATGACATACATTAAGGAACAGGAGATGATCATCGTTTAACCGTTTAAAAATTGCTTCATAGTTCCGGGCAGAATTATGTTGGTCGTGGGCCGGAATTATTTTAATTCCGGCCAAACGATTAAGAAAATTAGAGTTGTGTTACATAAATTACATAAATCATTTGTCACACAGATCATGTTCATGTGTAAAATTTGATTATTTTGACTTATTTAATAATAGAAGTTGTCTAATTTTTGAGTATCATTTTGCAAATTCTTTAGCATTTGAAGGTTCTTATTATTGAATTTTAAAGGTAATTGAAAATAAAATGAAAAAGAATGCGGACTCTAAAGTTAGCCTATTTTTAATAATTTTTGTTATTTTTATATAAGTAATGTATATTATTAACCCAAAATAGGCAAAAGAAACATCAATTAAACTGATAGTTGTTATTATCTGATTTAGGAATGTTTTTAATTAATTTACTTAGAGTGGTTGACAACTTCTCAAGTGATAGATTGGGTGTTCAAATTCCATTGATGGTGAAAATTTGAATAATCACTTATGTAATATTTGTATTATAGTAACTGTTACTAATGATTAGGTTAGGATATCTGTAATAGTGATTGCATTAGCATGACTGACAGATTATAAAACATCTGTGCAATATTGAAGTTATATAAAAGAATACAAATTGACATATGAATAGTATAAATACTAAATAAGTTTTTGTGATTATATAAATCTGTTAAAATTGGATAATAAGAGGTTTATTTGAAAAATATAAATAATAAGGATAGAAATAGCTTAAATTTAAGTTAGCTTAAGTTGGTTTTTGAGTTAAGTTATTTAAATCAGTTTGAATCAAATTAAATTATTCAAAACTTATTTATAATTATATTTTAAATTAATCTAAAAATATATATATTCTTTAATTAATTTAATTAATTCATTAATTATTATATTAAATTTATTAATAATAGTATATTGATATACAAATTAAGTTTATAAATTAAA